TCCCAATAGTTCCTCTTGACCTTGATTCACTCAGGGATGTTTTCATCAAGACCGTGCAAGTCCATATAAATAAAGGTAGTATAAAATGTAGAAAAATGAATACAAACACAAAAAGTACCGGTAGTAATTCAATATCAAAACTGAAGGTTAAAGAAAACATTATATAAATACTTAAAAAGCATCATACTATAAAAGAGGTGTGTAAACTGTATCAAGATAAAATAAACTGTTTGAATTTGACAACACCTGGTGCATTTTTAACATGTAATATGTTCTAACATTTAATATAATATTTTAATATATAAAATTAAATGTTTTAATGTTTTAGTTTAAGTTTCCTCTGTTTACTTTGCTTTGTTTTTGTTTCCTTTCAGTAATTGTTCTAGATGCACCTTTCATTAAGAAGCGTGCCACGGATGAAAAAGTGTAGTTCCAAATAAATTATTACAAAAATTATATAAAAATAAAAAATAAACATTATATCGTTTTGAATAATAATAATAATATTAAAAAAAGCATAATAAATCATGATCATCACCATATTATTATGATTAAGATTATTATTGTTACTTTATTATTATTATTATTATTTTATTATTATTATTCATTTATCACCATTATAAATCATCATCATTGACATTGATACAGTTATATCGTTATCATGATCGTCGTCGCTATCATAATCATAATACATTACTGTAATAATAATAATTGTTATTATTACAGTACTTTATTATGATAATACAGTACTGTAATAATAATAATTGTTATAATTATTGTTATTGTTATTGTTATTATTATTATTATTATTATTATTATCATTATTATTATTATCATCATCATCATCATCATCAATTTAATTCAATCCTTATTGGTCCAATATATAAATCTTTGTTTATACACTGCAATGTATAAAAGGTTAGGAAATCCAATATATGCCTATATAAAATGATTAAAACATTATTATTGTTATTATTATATTATTATTATTATTATTGTTATTATTATTTAAAAACATTAAAAATATTAAAACACTATTATTATTATTATTATTATTATTATTATTATTATTATTATTATTTAAAAACATTAAAATCATTAAAACATTATTATTACAGTATTATTATTTAAAAACATTAAAATCATTAAAACATTATTTTCATCACGATTGAGAGAAAAAACGTGGGGTCTTCGTTTTTCTGATCTTCGGTCTTCGTTTTGTAGACACCAGTATAGGGTGCAGGGACGTAGCCAGGATTTTGAAAGGAGGGAGCCGTTATGCGAATTACGTAGGACCCCGGCGGGGTCAAGGGGGCGAATCCCCCTGTGAAGTAGCGCACTCTAAACGTTCTTAGGACTGTTTGGGAGGATAAAGTGAAATTGCAATAAACGCATTGTAAATAAGCGCAAGAATTATTTAATAATAAACAGTGGCAGATCCAGGAATTCGAAAGAGAGGTGAACGAGGGAGGGACTTTCAAAGACCGAGAAACCGGCCACCTCAGCCCCACCATGGTTGGGGCTGAGGCAAGAAAATTTATGATTAGGGCATCTCTAGATGGCCGGAAATAACACTCTCGCACTTCAAATGAAAAACTAGATCACGTCCTAAACTAAAAACAAACAGCAGTCACTAAGACATACATCAGGAGCCGACTCGATGGAGTTTAATGTCATACCCAGGGAAGGGCACAGCTCTGTTTTGAAAGGTGGAGGGGGAGGACATTTTGTGAGTTGACACCCACCTCAGCCACCCCCCCCCCCCATGGGTGGAGCTGAGGTGAGAAAATTTGAGGAAATAGTACCTCTAGATGGCCAGAAATGACACTTTTAGTAAAATTCATCATCATCACATCACCATTAGTCGAAATGAAGCGCCAAAAAAAATTCTCATGATCTTATATCAGGGATTTTTGACAACCATAGAGATCTTATTAATGTCTGTGTGATATACCATAGAAAACAAAGCTTAAAAGCATTGTCTTTGAGTATGTACTTTAGATAGGCATACTCCAAAAACGTGATTTCACAACCACCTCAGCCCCACAATGGCTGGGGCTGAGGTGAGAAAATTTGAGGAAATAGTACCTCTCGAGATGGCCGAAAATGACACTTTTATATAGTAAAATTCATCATCATCACATCATCGTTATAGTCAAAATGAAACGCCAACAAATTTCTCATGATCTTTTATCAAGGATCTACTTAATATCCAGGACAACTTAGGCCTAACTATAGCTTACTAAGCTTTAACTATATATACTATAATAATTATGATCAACAAATCACAACTTTTTTTCGCATTTAGCACAATTTTCTTCACTTTTTATTGCTATTAATATTATTATCAATTATTACTATCGTCATCATCATCATCATTGTCATTATTATTATTACTATTAGTAGTAGTATTATTAAACAAAAATTTAAAGAAACTTGCAAAAGGATAAAAACGAAATTGAACCACAGTATCGCATTTCTATCTTTAAAGACCTGGCCTGAGATTTATGGATTTAGGCCTATGTGCTCTATTAGGCCTATGTATAACGTTTACTGATGCATATTTACATGTTTTAGAAAATTTTTTTTGAGTGATCCCAGGAAAGAATTTGTATTGGCTCAAGAATAAGCTTTAAAATTTTAACACTGTGTACAAAAGGG